ACACACACACACACAAAGAGGGATAGCTCTGAAATGAAATTCCACTCTTTCTGTAAGAGGAACGTTTCTGCCACAAAATAGATCCCCCCAATATGCTTTAGATATGATCAGGGGATGGGGGGGAAAGGAGGACAGCCAGGGGAAGTCTGTTATGCAATCTGCTGATACAAAATATACCTCTGAAACACTTCCTAAGTAACCTAGCGAGTTATTTTTACAAACAGCAAGTATAAATATCCCAATACATCTGAAGAGTTCGTTCTGAATTTTTAGGTATATGTACAGTATGTAAACACCACCTCCCACTTAATGGAACGTTGGTCGGTTTGTTGAAACAAGCTGACATTTTGGTACTGGTTCCGTTTTCATTTTAGTCCATGTCATTTAAAATAGGCAGGATCTCCATCTTAGTCAAGCTTCTTAGCCTTCCGGTATTCCAATATAGTAGCTATGACCCAAATGTTAAGAGCCGTCATGACTACGAAACGGATCAGAACTGGAGAGGGGAGGGAAGGATACTTATTAGCAATTCCATACCTTAAAGTGAAACAAGCCAGATAAATCCATTTTAAACTTGGAAATAGATTCAATAGCTTTCAAACAAATAGCACAATGCCTAAGCTAGTAGAAGACAAACTCCTGAACCTTCCCCCTCCTCCAAAGCATCATGTGGTTCCTTCCCCCTACTCCCTCCAAATTGGTAGCTCCCAGGTGTCCTTTGGAAGAAGTGACATTCTGGGGTGTTTTACACAGTAAATTGAGTACCTTAAAGTCCCTTTTGCCTCTGAAGCTCCCCAAATGAAAGAAGTTTCAGCCCTACCTAATCTTGGGTTTCAGGAACAGCACAAAGGCAAAGTGTAGTCACAAACTTGAAACAAGTTCTTCAGTAAGGGGAGGTCTGTTCTTAGAAATAAGCTGCTGCATACAGAACCCTTTGAAAGAGTGGGAATGTGGATTTGACTCAGAGAAGGGAATAGCAATGTCGAACCAATACAGAAAAGATATTTGAGTCCTGGGAAAGTAGAAAGTGTGAGAAAGAAACTCAGAACAACTCCACCGAGAATGGGTTAGAGATAAGTGGAAGTAGAAATAATTTTTAACAGGCTTTCAAGATTCTGTTACAATGCCTTCGCCACACTAAAGTACATGCCAAGATTCCTAGTGATTCCCATTTTATGACCTGATCCACCTCAAAGGGCAGACAGGGGACCACGCAACTCTGAATTAGTTCGTAACTAGGAGCATAGGACATTGTGATAGATGCTTATCCCACCACCCTTTGGCAGGCTCTAGATTATGACAGGAATTCCCGTGTCTTATGTAGATTCTTATGTCACTCACACAGAATCATTCATAATCACAGGATTCAAAGTCAGCTCTCATAAAGCTATATCATCATCATCATCATCATCATCTCAGAACACACAGGTAAGTAAATCAATGCTGCCTTGATTAGGTTTTTACAAAATTAATTTTTCTTATTGCTGCTTTCAAAAAGAAGGGATTGTCAATAATAAACTTAAAGTCAGCCTTCTCAGAAAATACACAATTTTTGTCTGCAGGTAAAAATGCAGTTAAGTCTGCACAGGCAAGGCCCATTTCCAGTTCTGATCACAGCTGCAAACAGAATCCATTCAGCACTCCTACTCCAGCATTCAAAGCTTCGGGGGATTAGACTCATATGAAGGGAAGGCAGATGCACAGACTGGGGTGGAGTCCTCCACCTCTTGAAGGAACTCTGTGCAAATCCAGCTGGCTCCTCCACTGCTTTCCAATGAACGAAGGGCGACAGATGACTGAATGGTGAGGGGGAATGAGCACGTTCCCTCATGCCCCTCACTCCCCAAACATGGCCAAGGTTTGCAGTCAAGGATTCCTTGCCTCACACCTGACTTCCTTTTGATTCTGAAGGAGAAAGTGGCCCGTGAATGGGAAAGTTTCTGTCATTCCCCCTAGCCCTTTATTCTAATGAGAACTCTTCCCTATTTATGCTTCTTTTGTCTTCCACAGCCAGTAAGAACATATTAGCGAAATTGGCACCCAGCGGCAACGACTCAGCAAATTTGCCTACTTGTAGAAGCATCCTTCAAAGGAAGGCCAAGTCCGGAGACAGACACTACAAGCACTACAGGTTGATATAATTGGGACTGGAATTTCTGTCACTAAATGATGTGGTCATAAAGCACGCCGTCATGTGACCCTATTGCTTAGCGATAGTAATCCTGGCAGAACCCTGTTGTCATCGTTAAGTGAGGTTCACAGGTCGTTAAGCAAGGACCTTCTCGCAACTTCTTGCTGTCTTCCAACAACCAAATCAGTGGGGAAACCAGCAGGAAGTTGCAAGTCCCAGGCGGTTTGCAAGGAAGCCAGTAGGTAGGTAAGTGGCTGCTGCCAGGTGGAGGAGGGTGCACGAGGGGCTGGCGCGGCATGGTGCAAGCGCATCAAGGGTTTGGAGTGGCTGCTGCTGGGTGATTTAGTGGTCGCTTTGCTTAACGACCAAGCTGCCGGTCCCAATTTTGGTCACTAAATGAGGACTACCTGCATTAAACTACAAGTTTTGCAGCAGACCATTTTAAAGAGTTATATAAATTTCAGCAAATAGAAAAAAATCTAGTTCTATGTAGATATTCAGACAGCCAGTCATTGCAAGCTATGCTTAAGATATTGCCTATTGTGCTTTTAATGTTATTCTCTACTTTAAAACTTGGCAAGGAAAACCTACTTTATTTGACGGATTAAGGGTGCATGTGACCCATAGCCCCAGAATCTGAGCCATCCAATCTGCTGAATCTACCAAAACGCTTTCACTCACAATCAGTCATGGACAGCATGGCAACAAAAAAAGAAGAAAACCTCAGTCAAATATTATTCCTATGTGAATAGAAAGCCATTTAAAGTTCACATACTCTTGTCTGCTTGTAAGCAGCAACAAATACAACGTTTACAAGGGAATGCTTGTTTAAAATTTCAACTCAGGAAATACTGAAAATAAAATATAAACAGGATCTTTTTTGTGGCATGAGTTCCTCAAGAGTTATCCTGCCCATTTTAATGCTAGTAAATACAGAATACCTCTGTTCAAGAAACTTTTCAAAGCCAAATTCTGGAATCTTCATCAGGACCCCATTCCATGTTAATTCTAGAAGAAGCTCTTCCTCAAACTTCACTCCCTGATCCACTCCAGAATTCCAGGAAGTTCAATTCCTAGAATTCCCAGCAAACATGCTGGAGGAGTAGAGTCCCGAGAGGAGGCTGTCCCATGTAATTTAAAGGAAGAAAAGCCATTTTGCTAATCTTGCTCCCAATAGTGCATACCAGAGGCATGCAGAACTTGGACCTGAAGTAGGAAAAAGTACCTCCCATCCTGTAAGGCACCCTTGCTGTACCCATCGGCAGCTACTTAAAGAAGCTGCACCTTCTGCTGAGTTTGCACAAGAGCCAACATGGGCTCAGGAAAATACGTTTGAGTTCAGAAGGTCAGGCGGACCTTACGGAGTCACCCCCACCTTAGAAAACTCAAATGTGCTTTCCTGAGTTGCAAAGTTCATATGTGAGACCAGAAGAGGTGGCTCTTTTAAAGAGCTGCCAGTGAGGACAAGACTGCTCACACTGGGCCCAAAACACCTTTGTCCGCTTTGCATCTCAGTATGGGTATCTTCACCACATAACTTTCCTGCTTTCCTCAACCATGCACTGCATACGGGTGTTTGCAGCAGGCAAGCATAACCAGCAAGCCTTGGACAGCATCTGAAACTCCAACTGCGGCAGGTTCTAGCTCACATGTAGGGTTCCCTGCTGCAGATGTCAGTGCAAAAGACATGGATGGCAAGAGTAGGGCAGTCGTGGAACACTGAGGACAAGGCAAAGGTGTCATTTGCAAATGAAAGGCAGTGGTTCAGCCTTCTCTAACCCAGCGCCCTCTGGATCTACAGAGAATTCCCAGAACTTCCAACCAGCAAGGCCAATAATAACGCTGGCTGAGAATTATGGGAGACACAATGCAAGGTATCTGGCGGGCACAGGCCGAGGGAGACTAAACTAATCTACCAACCACCTGGAGATGAAAAAGGAGGGCCCTGGCTGAGCTGGTAAAGCACATCCTCTGAGTGGAAGGAGGAGAACACAAAAAATGACTTGAGACTGAAACAGGCTTTCCTTGGTTAAATCAGTGTAAGGAGTCAACTTTCCCCAAACCAAGTGGCATACAAAAAGTTAAAAGCTTCTCTGACTCGCTGTGGCACAGCAGCACCCAGGAAACTTGGCTTTCTTTCGTTTTGGAGAAGTTTAAATGCCAGTCCCTCAGAGTCACTGACTCACAGGTTTGTAGCTACATTTTTATAAAACTGCAGGAAATAAAGGAAAAGTGCAAGAAGACAGAACAACATTTTATTGTTAGTGAAAGGAACCGGCTCTCTGGCCACACCTACCTGCCTGCCTAGAGAACCCACCCTGCTTTTTTATGGACAGGTATATGGCTCATTTACAGATGGTAACAAGGTATTCAGAAACTGCAGAACTGCCCCCACACTCAACAACTGCCCCAACAAAATGTCACTCTCACTTCCCCAGGGGAAGCTTAGCACACCTATCCATGAAGTGCAACAGCAGAGAAAGAGAGTAACTTTTACAGCCTGCTCTTAGAGTCCCCATGCTTTATTATTCTTATTGTGTGTTTCCGGGCATACAGCTTACGAATCGCAAGGGCCAGGTCAACAGTCGGAAAAGCAACCTTACTCAGCCCAGAGGAATGAAAAAGCGGTTGACACACCTGAAGAGCACCAGGCTGGGAAAAGCTGTAAAAGTCTAGTTCGAAAGAAAAGGCATGGCACTTGTTTCTAAGAACTTCAGTGTTCTTTAAGAGTTCTTAAAGTTGGAGTTCACAGTGCTTTGGCCTGGAACCTCAACCATCTCAGATAGGAAAAGGCTACTAAGGGAAATGCAGCCATGATGCAATCTTTTGTTTCATTTATCTTAAGAACAGCTCCAGAATTGAGCTCTGGCCCAACTTAGGCTCTGTATGTGCTTCCTTTCAGGGGTGCAACTGAGGACTGAACTAGGAGAAGAGTCTTCAAGTTCACCATCAGGCACGGTTGGGGGAGCCCCCCTCTTTTCCTTAAAATCCACCTGAAGGGCTATCTTGCCGGCTTCTCCTCCCTCCTGCCCCTTGGACGTCAAGAAAGACGGGAAAAAGGCCAGGCCAGCCTGGCTTCGCGTGGCGTCCGGGGAGAGCAGAACAGAAGCAGCGCCTGTGGGAAGATGAAAGGAAAGGGAAGCGGCCAGAGAGGGAAGGGAAAAGCGGCAGATGCGGCGCCGAGGGAGGCCTCGGGTCCCAGGCCCGCCGCCCGGGTCTCCTTTTCGAAAACGGCGGCACGGCTAGCCACCCTCCTCCCCTGGGCAGAATCCGCGCCCGAAGGTGGCGCCGTCTGGGGGGAGCGCTGCGCGCGGGCCGGGTTCCTCGGACGCCCGGCATCGCCACGCAGCAGAAACAGCCGCAGCCTCCAAGCGGGCTCGCTGGGAAGAGAAGCAGCCCCGCGGAGCCCCCTGCGCAGCCCTCCGCGCGAGGGACTCCTCCGTGGCTGGCCAGGAACAAACGCCCGCCCGTCTTCCCCTTCCCAAAGACCGGGCGGGAGGAAGAGCGCGGAAGCTGCCGCTGCCGCTGCCGGAGAGCTTGGCGGAGAAGCGCCTTACCCGCCGAGCTCCAGCACTAAACTTTCCAGGCTGACCCCGCGGGCGGATCTGGCGGCCAGCAAGGCGGCTCCCTGGGGCAGCTTGAGTATGAAGCACGCCGCGATCGTGCTCCAGTTCGCCGCCTCCAGCAAGAACGAGCCCGGCTCCATCGCGCCCCGGTTCCTCCAGCAAGGCGGCGCCGGCTGCCTCGGCCCGCGGAAATCACAGCCCCGCCTAGTCGAGCTAACGAGGGCGGGGGGTTGGAAATGCCCGGTGGGAGGAGGAGGAGAAGCGAAAGTAGGCTTGTTTTTCGAGTTAACGAAGAAGTTCGGAGTGGGGGATTCAGGCGAACAGATTTATTTGCGGCCTCGGTTAATGAGGACTCTGCTTTAGAGAAATTATTCTTTTCTTCCTCCACTTCCCCCGCCCCCCTTCTTAGTTCTTATTTACTCAAGGCAGAGGCAGCTGTACTTTGCATATGCCCAGGGGCATTTTTTTACCCCTCACTGCACGTGCCAGGACGGGAACTCAAGGCAGGTTCTGGTCTGAGTTCCAACCCCAGGAAGCCTTGCGCTTTTTAAATTGGGGAGTAATAGTTAGATCTATTTTCTTCCAATTCCCTGGCATCATTAGCTTATCTTAAAAGTGCAGCCCTTGAGTGGTTTTGTTAAGAGAGCTACTTCAGTTCCGGAAACTACCAGCTGCGTGCAACGAGGCCCTCTTTTTCCTGTCTCCGGAGTGCTACTAGAACATGCTCAGGAATCACCTGCCATCCGGTGTCTTTGCAGTAAAACTTTTCACATGGCTTCTTAGGAAAACAGCGCACAACCGTAGTGTCTGCTGCCTAAGGTGATTGACTTATTCCCTTTCCTGCCCAAAAAACTGATCACAGAACAAAATATAAATCATGCCAAAATTAAAGATTGGAAAAA